CTCTCGACCTCCCCCGTCAACATCCTACACGAGATGCCGGTACCGCTGAGTGTATGCAACACTACCGGCCTGTGGGGACGAGAGAGCGCGATGAACAACATCACCCACAGGTTTCGAAGAATATTCATTTGCTGTATCGATCGCACACTGCTGGTGAGCTCTGTCGATCTCGTGGTTGGTCCTCTTTCCCTTTTCCGTGGCACATCCTGGCCAAGTTGACTCGTGATTGTCTGTTGCTAACACAACTCGCTCCACTCGCCATTTTATATTCGCGACGCCAGGCGGCAGCGGTACGTGCGACGAAGGGTTTGAGGGCAATGCCGGAGGTGACGACTCCACGGGTGAAGCCGGTAGTGGAGCCGGTGATCCAGCGAGCGACGGGTTGGCGAAGGTACCACCCTGGCTGGGATATTTGCACAAACTTATCGAGGAATACATGAACGCAGACGTAGTCGACGGCGAAGATCTGAATTTTGCTGGTTTGGCGCTAGGCAGCCGCTTTTTTCCCTGGGCGAACCTCACCGAGATGCTCGTATCGGTATGGGCCATAGTCTGCAGGCCGTCGCGCAAGTCGCTGCAGATGCTACTCGATCTTCTCCGTGTGGAGGATAGCGAAGGCGGCAGGTTCGACCCGAGAGACGTTCCCGAGTCGTCCGAGCATCTCGTCAGTAGGATGCGGCGGCGCTTGCCGCTCCTTCCTGTGGTACGGCGAGAGGTAAAAGGCAAGGACGACAAGGCTGCGGAGGTAAATGAATGCCCTTTCAACCTCATTTACCAGCGTATGCTCGAATGCCCTCGGGTAGTGGAAGAGCTTCTGAAGAATGCGGGTGGGAAGCAATTGTCTAAGGAGGAGCAACGTCGTAGTCAAGTACCTGATCTCCACTCCACTCCGATTACCACTCGGGAGCCCGATGGAGCGAGGGGCGGGTTCATGAGCGGAGACATCATGATGGCTTCTGCACATATGGGCCTGGAATGTGTGGCCACAACGGATGGGGTGCGGCTCATGGTGGGAGTCACGGCAATGGTAAATGTACCAGCGTTCGGGAGCAGCCCACACCCCTGCCGGATTGCTGCGATCCTCTGGCAGAATACGCGGAAGCAGAGGCGACGCGCCCTCGAGCTTTCAGGGGGAATGGGGGGGGCGTTTGCCGGTGGTTTCAGGCTTTGGATACGATTGACGAAGAGGACGAGGATGCGGGGTCCTCGCCCTTGTCAACCTCTCCAGGCGCATCGTGGCAATCGTCGGAAGAAGATGGGGAGGAAGAAGAGGAAGAGGAAGAGGAAGAAGAAGAAGCGGAAGAGGAAGGAGAGGACGAAACCCAACAGGGGCGGCCGGGGGGTGGGGTCCAAAGCACTGGCCATCTTGTTGTGCGTGTCAATCCATTCGTGTTCAGGAGCGACATGCCCGACGGTATCAAGAGCAAGCGCCGACGAGACCAAGATGTGGAGTCTGTTTGGGAGGTCACGAACCAGGAGGAGAACGTCGGAGTGAGTGCACTGGTAGGTCCGTGCATGGTGTTGCCGGTGGGTACCAACGTACCTAAGCCCGCCGATGATACGGCCAGCATGCCGACCTTCGTCGGAGAAGGTGTTGCAGCTACAACCCCCCGCACCAGGCGCTTGCAGGTGGTCAAGAACGTTTGGAGAAGGTCGGGGGTGCACGGTTGTTTCAAGGATAGACGATCGTCAAGAACATTCACAAACGAGGGTGGTCTTCCCGTTGTATCGATGGGCTTCCTTTGTTCCAGCGATGCTTTCAACTACCTGTCTGGCAATAGGCAGTACAGTGTGCGCGGTACATATCTTGCCCCGGGATGCACCTCTTCCGCTCTTCTCCGACGTCTGCGATCGTGGTGGATGGTAACTGTTGGAGTGAAAGCGCGATGGGAAGATGAAATGGCCCCCCTGACGTCTATTCTTCATATGCTCGAGCACAGCTGCCGCGCGCGCATGAGGACCAGTGGTCAGGAATCCCACACGGTGAGGAATATACTCAGATGCGCGTAGTTGCTTGGGGGTGGCACGCCGGCCGTCGAAACAATGTTCGGGCATCGTCCCATAACGTGTTGATGTCGAATGTTGTCGGAAAACGCAGGTAGATGTTGATTGGTCATCATGTGGTGTCGATACATACAAGGAGAGTTCTTACCGGTGGCGGACGCTAGCTCAAGAAATGACACCTGATGCGAAGGTGAAACTAGGCTTCAAATACCAGGCGCCGGACGGTAGGAAACACCTCGTCGCATCTGCGTCTGGAACAGAACCAGTGAACGGTAGGATTTCGTGCTATTCATCCACGTCCAGCTTGCACGTCTGTACCAGTCCTTGATATGCCCCATCATCATGAACTGTCGAACTCAGGTGCTTGTGAGGGGAGGGCTACAAGGGCTGATCCCCGACAGCCCGGAGCACAGCGACAGGACGAACACGAAGAATGCCAACGATTGTACCCTCCGGTCGTGCCAACGCTGCAAAGTACCACGTCGCCATCTCGGCAACCCGCGCTACGACATCCGGCAAAATCGGCGGACGGCCGAAGACGTCGATGCCGATATCGAGTACGTCAAGCAAGGGGCCACCAAGACCGAGCGCGTCGAGCGCGCGAAACAACGTGGCGTCGTGGTCCCCAAGGTGTCCAACCCCCTGAAGAAGCTGACTTTCGATCGGCAGCTTCAGGTACCGTTCGACATCCTGCATGCGGACAGCCTGGTAAGTGGTTTCGTATGTTGTCTGGGAACTGCATCTAAACGTAGTAGACGTTATGGCGTGTGCTCTAGAGAAACGTACTTGTAGCGCTCTACATTTTGGTCGTGTCACCAGCCACCCACCCCCTCACCCCTGCCCGACGTGTTTGCACATCCGGATCCAACCGTGATACGTGATCCTCCCTCGCGTGTAACCCCATACCCTTCATTGCCCCCCCCCCCCCCCCCCCTAATTGGGGATAAATGGGGGGCACAAAAAGCCCTAAAGGACGGGGAAAAAATGTGCCAAAAATTTTTTTGGGGTTTGGGGCAAAAACCTAAAAAGCCCCCAAATGTTGGGGGGGTCCCTAGAAGGGGTAAGAA